AAAATTTTATAGTATTCCTAAATAGTTTTCACGATACCTTTTTGAAAAGTGCTCCAAATTAAGAAAACCAATGAATATGGTCTGTGGTTTCTGAAAGAAAATAAAGAAAAAAGGAACTCATCTGCTACCCTTAATTATTTGACCTAAAGTACCTTTGTTTAAGATGCCCAAATGTGATACTGAAGGGTGTCTAAAAGCAAGAGAATAGTTAGTTATCTGATGCATAAAAAGTAGAAGAAAATAACATATGTTAAGATGTTAGCCTCCTAAAGAAAAATCCTGCGTTGAACAGAAAGCCACAGTTTGAGCTTAAAGTTGCAGACAAACTAATCTGTCACAGGAGAAATCAGAGAAGTTTTGCAAAGGAGTATAACAAGTTAAAACATTTAGTTTAATAATTATTAAAGCTATGTTTGAAAATGTTTCTAACATTATAATAATTTATTACTCACTAGTTAATTAAAATGAAAACCATAACTCAATGATTTATATTAGTATATATAAAATGACATGAGTATTAAGGTATTTGGAAAATTTTTATCATTCTACAATGACTAAATCAATGTTTATAAAGGACCACAGACAGCCTTCTCTCCTGAAAACTGTATCCAGAAAAAGACTCCATCATTTATTAAGAAACTAGCAAACACTTTGTCAGAAGTTTTGGCAAGGCTACAAGGAGTGGGATTTCTATGAAACTGGGGTAAGCCAGATTGAGGTAATAAATTGGGAATGCAGAGATGTCAAAACATGGTTATTTTAGACAAGGACATGTAGAAAAGTCATGCTAAAAGGTCGATTTAAAATGAGGAATCAATTTTCCTTGGGAAAAAAAACCGACTTTTTTTTTTTTTTTTGGAAGGTCCATACCCTCTAAGTAAGTGCCACTTTGGCAAAAATAAGATTTTCCTCCTTTTGGTCTTCAGACTGTCCCCTAAACTACTTGAAGATAATAAACCCTAAGTCATAAACAAAATAATTCAACTTTATTAGAGTGCAGCCACTTCACTTTAGGAGCAAATGCCACACTTGAACATTAAGAGTATGACTGAAAGGTTCCGTAGGCATCACACAGCAGACCCTGAATGCCTGCCAGGTCCTCTCTACAGGGAAGCACACGAAACCAATCATGCAGCCAGCTTGGGGCTTATGCTGTTCTTCCTGCTGGAAGCTCACATGCTGTCTTGCCCCTGCAGCAAGCAGTGGGCCCAGGGCCTTTTCTACCTTTATGATGTAAATTAGGGAGTTTTATATATGATACTCTCAAGGTATTTCAAGACACCTCTTCATTCAATAAATGTTCAAACTGCCAAGCATGACTTTACACACAGAGAGTTATGAGATTTATATGGAAGTGATTTGGCTAACATTTTACCTTACTGATTTTAACTGTGAAATAATCCTTCTATAGTTATGTACTCATGAAGTTTTCTTTTTCTTTCTTTCTTTTAACTATAAAAGTAATCAGCTTCATGCAGACTACGTAGATCCCGGTCATAATGCTTCTACATATTTGTGGCAATTGAATTTTCATCTTTCTCCTTTTCAGTTGTAGATTTGTCATAATAGTCACTTGCTTTATTAGCCCCATTTTATTTTGCTTTTCTTTTGGCTGAGAAAATAACATTTGAATTAGGAAAACATGATTTAATAAAAACGACGATAGTTCTGAGATTTAATACTGCCTCTCAGCCACTAGGCTATGCTAAAGGACAGTCCATTTGTTCATGAACACTTCTGTCTTCCAGCCACCCAAAAACAGAAGGAAGATAAATTCTAAAGCTGAATGTGAATTACTTAACCACTCAAAACCTAGCTGGAAATTCATTTAACAGATTTATATAAGAGTTTATGTAATTAGTTTATATGACATACCCCCAAAGAACAAATGAACCCAAATTTTTTTTTTTTTTTGGCGGTACGCGGGCCTCTCACTGTTGTGGTCTCTCCCGTTGCGGAGCACAGGCTCCGGACGTGCAGGCTCAGCGGCCATGCCTCGCGGGCCCAGCCACTCCGCGGCATGTGGGATCTTCCCGGACCGGGGCACGAACCCACGTCCCCTGCATCTGCAGGCGGACTCTCAACCACTGCGCCACCAGGGAAGCCTATGAACCCAAATTTTTACTAGCTAGATGTCACATAGTAATGTTTAGTTTGGCTTTGAATGAATGAGTCGTCATTAGGCTTATGTTATCCAAATTAAATATCTATTTTCATTTGCATGTAGTCAGTCCTATTAAAAATCTATAATGTATAGTCATGGACTGATTAATTACCAGAAGCATGAGCTTCAGATTGGTTATATTTTTCCTTCTGGTTCAAAAAAAGTTCATTTTAAAATGCAACAATTGGGGCTTCAGTAAAATCCATCTGTGAAGCCCCACAGAAAAAGATGTATAAGGTTAGGACTGTCATGTGTGTGTCAAGTCATGTTTTCCCATATACATCTAAACACAGGGGTGATATTCAAAATATTTAAAACTGTTACCACACAGGCACTGAGAAACCTAGACAGGTGCTTGTGGTCCCTGCCCATAGTGATAAATTGCTATTATAGCAATGTAGAAATTCTGGTTGATCATTATTATTACATTCAATAACGGTCTTACATAGCTTTTTTGAATAACTATTAGGAAATACGATATTCTTAATTATGCTCCATAACACACCAACTAGCAGAACAACGTCACAGATATTTTCAATTCTAGAATTTCTTCCTTTTACATACCATAAAGTGCAGTTACCCAAATGTCTGGCAATGTCTGCTAGTATCTTCATCAAGGCAGGTCACAATATTTCTTGAGTTTTACAGATTAAATTCAGAGACTATGATATATTCTCTTTAGTCATCTCTTTCACCCATAGTCTTGGGCAGAAGTCAACTCCAGAACCATTCTGGGGGTCCTAATTTAGTCAAAGGTCTCTGAGATGTGATACAAACCAATTCTCCTTCGTCGCAAAGGAGTGATTAAAAAAAGCAAAACAAACAAACAAAAAAATCAAGTCTTAGAAAGCAGCTAGATTGTACCACTTGCCCTGGAGCATCTTAGAGCAAGAAAATGCCAAGGATTAGAGCAGAGCTTTCTTTCCACGGGAGCTGAAGGCTTCAGAACTTGCTATGTGCCCAACTTCATATTCAATCCTGGTTCTTGGGTCAACCTCAAGGCTCGAAGGGTATTCATCACAGTGCTGCCCATGTGTAAATCAGGGCCCATCTTGGCGTTACAGTGCATAGGTTCCCATTTCTTGCTGTGCTATTCATCAAGAGACTGAGTTCAAAAGAGTAGGGAAATAACTACAATGTTTGGAACATATTGTGTTCCTTTTTATCTCCCTCTAGTTTCTACTAGTCTCTAAGCACTTTAGAGCAGTAGTACTCTCTCTAGTCTTAAAGCACTCTCCAGCCATACCAAAATTGTCATGGTTGGCTAACAGCCCTTCCAGATCTCCTGCCTATGTGTAGGCTATGCCATGTGGCTGGTGGCTGGACTGCCCTTCCTCCCCACTGCCCACCTGCTGAATTCATCCCTCAAGCTTCATCTCAAAAGTCAGTTGTCTTGTGAGATTTTCTTTGACTCCAGCTAGAATCAGGTGTTATTTCCACCCGTTCCCATTCCTCTCTTGTAGCGCTTATCACTCAGTATTATCATTATTTGTACACAAGCCTGAATCCCTGGCTAGCCAGTTCCTTCAGGCCTGGTGGGATGGTATCTCATTGAGCCTTGCTCTGGTTGGCACAGAGGAAGTGCTCAATCCATGTCTGCTGCATAAATCAACAGTGAGCAGGTAGATGGAAGTGGGAAGAAAGAACTCTCAGTATTAAATCCCAGGAACTCCAACTGCATCATGAGTCACAGTTAGACTCTGCATTACTACATTAAAGACACCATACTGTGGGATACCTAAATTATTGTTCCCTTTCTAAGAGCCTACCCGCTGAGGTCTTCTTTCCCCAAGTGAGACTAGTTCTGACACTGCATACACTACTGCCCACCCAAACCAAGGAAGCAATATGGTCCTTAGAGTCTCATCCCAGCTCTAGTAGATACATCTGGGCTGCCTTCTGCTCAGAGCCTAACTTGGTTTTCTCTAACAGTCATCTAAAGAATCCTTATCTTGTGGACTTACCAGTTAACTCTGCCACAGTGCTAGTGACTTGGCTCCAAAGCCAGCAGAGATGCCCCTCTGTACAGGAATGTGCACAGACTGTTAGATTTGCTGCTAAACTTGGGAGGAGACACTTTAGCAACTGCTTCTCTCCTTAGTAAGAAAAGTCTTCACATTATTTCCTAGTGGCTAACACCCCTATGCTAGAATTTGGCTGTAGCAAGTCCTAAAGTATTAATCTGAGAAAGACCTGGGTTTTAAAAAACTCAGTGAATTGTATTCAAGAGTTCAGACCTGTTTCCTCATCAGCTACAAGGGAAAAAGAATCTCGGAGATGGAAGTTGACTCCAACCCACAGCAGTCCCCGGGGGCCAGCCCCTGCACTTCTGGTTATCCACCAACATCAGTTTCCTCTGGTATTGATCTAGTTTCTCACTCACATATTGGAATGAACACTCACGCCCCTCCCGTCAAAACTTGTACAGCCTCCTGGGTTATATCTGAACCACCATTAAACTCTAATGTAGTCTATGTAGGTTTAACTATTTCTGGGGATCTGAATTCTAGGCTTGTTTCAACTATTACTGTATTTTGAAATATATCTTACACGTTATCTCCATACATCACTGTTCTTTATCAATATAAGTGATGTGCAATACCAACACAATCAAGTACCAATAGTGTGTTAGCGTGCAATCAGTTATATTAACTAAGTACCCATGTATTCAGCTATAAAGATGTCTACAGATTTAAAAAATTAAGTTAACCTATTAATGTAATTTGGGGGGAAAATCTCCATGTGAATGTCTGCTATATTGGCTCTCAGTAAAATGACAAAAGTGATAAAATGAAATCCAATAGTTCAGGAGAAAAACATCTTCAAGTACACTCACCCACTATGTTTCATATGTGGTGGTTTATCCATTCGCACTGCCAATTTTATTTTTAAGTCAGAGTCCTGGCTATTTTTTGGAACGATCATTCGGTGCAACTCAGCTGACTTGGAGCTATTAGAAGTTGGGTATAATATCACCTGTAAGGGACAAAAATAACACATTTAGGTGAACACAGAACGTCTAAGGAGTAGAACTGAAATCTTTTCTATACATTTTCCTGTTTGAAAAGGTGGTGTCATGCCCAAATGTGTCTAATAAACCATTTCACTCCCACCACAGCAGATGGGTTTTCAATACAGACTGGTTTATTTATTTATTTTTTTGACAAATATGTGTTTTCATAATATCACATAACGAGTTTTCTTCCTGTGTCACTTCATAATGAATTAATAGCACGGCAGCTACGGTTGAACTGACCGTTGAAAAATACTTAATAGACACCTATAATTTCAAGACCACTCTAAACTCCTCAGAGCAAAGAAGTTCAGAAAGAAATATTCTTTGAAATTACAAATAGCATGCTCAAAAAGCAAAACCAATTATTTGAAGCAGCAAAAATATACCTCACGTTTTAATATTTTCATTGCAAAGCAGTGTTCAAGGAAATCAAACCAATTAGAGATGGAAAAGACTGATCATCGCATTTTCTGCTCTAGATCAATATCAGAGAAGGATTTTTTTCCTGACTACCTGTTCTCAAAACTATAAAGATGATATTATGATGACTGAAACAAAGTAATTATTTTTAATAAAACTGCCAAATTATCAAGTCGTTATTTCACAATCCCACATTCCACAGAGCCAACACAGGAAAGAAAAGCTTACTCTTCAGATGTTACATACCATGTAGATTAAAAAACAAAAAAAAAAGTATTTTCCGCTTTTAGTCAGTTATGACACTACTTAGACACAGCCTATATTCAAGCCTTAATGAATATTTTTAAATGGGAGCACTATATTCTGAAGGATAAAATGAAGATATGAAATGCAGTACATCATATTTTAAGCCATTTCTTATTTTAAAGCAACGTGAAAAGTAAAAAAGCTTGAAGTTTCTAAGAAAATGAAAGAACTGCAAACATGCTCAGGTATGATAAAATGTTTTCAAAGCACATCATGGCAACTGAATTTGACATGCTCTGTCAAAAAAAAAAATCTTCATTTCCATGTATGTGTGAAAATATGCATGGAGAAATCTTCAGGCAAGCCTCTTTCTCTCTCTAGGAAAAACAACATAGTCATAGTCTCCAACTTCCAAGTTGTTAAATATATCTACTATTTTGAGACTTTTTTCAAACCTATCTATAGCCAGGTTCAGTCCAGCATATCTACACACTTCAGCATATAAAGGCTCAGCCAAAAGCAGATTAAACGGCATTTGTGATGTTTTCAAAAATTATGATCAGATTCTAGAAAGAGTTCTTTTTGACTGCTGAAATAGCCAATGGAATATTTTACAGATTCTTTCTTAAACAACAGTAAAGGAAAATAAATTAGTTATTTCTGGCTCAAACCAGCAGACAAAGGTATATCATTTTCAACTCAGAAGGTGATTCCACAAGAAGAGTCAAAGACTAAGACAGAGCTATACACCCTCTGTAGCTCTTACTGCTATTTCCCAGCAAGTCTGAAAAGCTTTTTCTATTTCTCCCCACCCCATCCTTTTAAAAAAAATTTGGCACAAACCACCTACAGACTTTATTCCTTTTTAATTCTGCTTTCTATGTTTATATGAAAATTGGTATTGTTCCAAACTCTGAATGTCGTATACAGGAAGAGAATATTTAAATTAAAACTTTCGACAATTTCTCATTCTCTAAACGCCAATAATGGGTTACTAAAAAAGGTCCCAAAATAACTGCAGTTTATCCCCAATTAAGGATCATCTCAGTACTGAACACCATCATTTCTGCCACATTTTAATTTTCCGATGGGTACCTCTAACTGAAGTCGGTGGAAGGATTTACTGCGTTATCTCTGTTCAATTAAACATTTGAGTGCTTACTCTGTGGGGACACAGAAAGATGAAAGAATATGGATGACTCTATAAGGAGTTGATGGTTTCTTCTTATCATAGCTAAAAACTCAGATAATATCTGGTAATATCATTTCTTTCTCTTGCCCTTCTATCCCTAGGGTGTGCAGCAGTTTTCCGATATTGTTAGTGTCTGGGTTTATTCACCATCGTTTGTTTGGCTTCTCTGTTCTATCACACATGTAGCTAACTCCCCGTGTTAAATTTCCACCATTTGAATGACCTGGAATTTTCTGTTTTTCTGGACAGACTCTAATAAAGGTGTAAACACTGCCATATGTAACAAATGAAGGCCCAGAGATATGAAATCTATTACTTCTAAAAATGGTACTGGTGAAGAAACTCTGTTAAATTGTCACCAGGTTCCCAAATTGTAGAAGCAGAAAGTGATCATACTCCTTTCCATGATTCAGCCACGGATGATAACAGACAAGGAAGAAGCACCCAAATGTGTAGAGCCCAAAGGGCCAGGGAGAATAAAGGACAAAACAATTCTTTTCAGATGCATAATAAGGGTCTAATCAAGAGATCCTGAACACTGTCAGGCAGGGTGTCTTCACAGTGCCTGCCATGACAGCATCTCACTGCTCTCCCTAGACACGTATTGCTCTGTATTTCCCACTTCACCTTTTTTTAGAATGGGAAGCTTAATTGTAGCTTTCCTGCCCCCTGCTCCACTGCTATATATTGGATTTCTGCTTGAGCAGGGTGGGGAGGGGAGATGGAACAGCAGGCAGTGAACACAAACCCTAGCTCATTGGGCACCAGGCTGCAAAGAGCCACAGCTGGACCTGATTGAGATGCTGGACTTTGAACTGGAAGTAAGGACAGGATGAAGCTTTGGGTTGTCTCCCTTGAAGTAAATGCATTCTATGGGTAGTTGGAAGGGTAACAGAATTGTTGTTACCTTGGCTATAGGGGTGAGCTATGGCAGATGATCTAACTTGTTCACCAGGATTCATGCTTTCCCTAGTATAGAACTGGTGCCAAGAAGCAGCTAGCCAGCCATATTTTCTAGCTCCCCTGGCATCTAAGTAGGGGCACATGAAAGTTGTAGCTAATGGAATATGAAGAAAAGTGGTAAATCGTTTTGGGGAATGATGATTAAGATATAGAAGTAAAGAAAGTATGCCGTCTTCACTCATCTGCTAGCCAAATGAAGAGGACTCCAATGCTCTAGAAAATGAGAGAGCCATAAGAGGGAAGAAACTAGAGCCCTGAATCACCACATGGAGGAAATCTACCCATCCATCAGGAACACCCATGATAAACTGTTATACAGGCACTATCGTTTTAAATTACTGAAATGTTGTCATTTGTTACAGCATTTAGTATACCAACTAGTACATTAACACAGAGTTTTGCTGCATAAGACTTGCACAGGTAGTAAGTGCTTGAAGAATTTTCTTTCACGATAAGCAGATAAACCATTCTACTTCAACATGACCTAGTTCACATTGAGAGGGATGTCTGATGTTGATGGTACAATAATTAGAATACTTAAGAGACATAATTTACTAAGGATTCTTCTTGTATTTTAGGTTCACACATAAGTTAAATCGTAGCTCTGTACAAAATAGTTAGCTTCTTACAGAATTTAGCAAAGTAGCTTATTCTTTGCTATTCATTTCTTAACTTTTCTACATGTATTTCTGCTTCTTCTAGTCTTTTAGTTTATTTTTGTCACCAACACTTTAAGGGCCTTGTCATTTAGCATAACACAACACATTTTATGATTTATCTTAAATATAAAGCCAATGTATCTTCTTCATAATAAAACGTCAACATTACTTTCCATCTTTGCTAAAGTGTAATGGAAAACACAAAATGTTTTTTTCAGGCTTTGTTTAAAATTCTGTCAAATTTAATACAGAGTCAAAACTTAAAATGAAGTGTAAAAATACATATGTACATAATATCTAGAGTAATATGGGGTACAGCAGGATCTTTCTCTTAAAATACACTTGTACAAACTGACACCTCTACATTATTTTTCTTCTATTAAGCTACATTAATTAAAGCCAAGCCATGTGCATCTGTACATATACTACATTATTTGAACTTTGTGGCCTATGAATTCACGACTTTCTAAACTGTTTCAAAACTAAAAACCTAAAAACTGGGAGGAACCATCTAGAAGAACTGAGAGGGAGCTAGGTAGGCTCTGGGGTGAGGTAAAGAATTCACTGCCTTGTCCCATAAATCTCTCTTAGTCCAGAGGAAGGAAAAAAAAGACCACATGACTGCAGCAATTGCACTGTGGTCTTTGAGTAAAATAATACAGCTACATTTTTGGTATGAATCTATCTCAGAGATAGGTGCAATCAACAATTCTTAAAGGAATCAGGACAGACTTCATAGAGGAATCGCTGCTTCATTTTGGAGTCTAAAAGAACCATAAGATTTATAAGATATTGTAAGATACAATATACAAGACACAATAAAAGACACAGGGAAGGGACTGATAAAGACATGAGGCCACTGGAACTGACCCACCCTTAGAAAGTAGGCACACAATCCTGATGCTGACATTCTTACCACTACCTTTGCTTCTCAAGCCCTTCCCCAAGCGTGACTGGTCAGCTCTTTGTTCCCAGGGACCTATCCTTAGTCAGTTTCCATTGCTTGCCACCAAGGGAACTTCAACCAGTGCATATGTTCATGACATTTTCTGCCATGTCAATTCTCTACCTTATCAAAAGGTAAGGGGAGAGCCCCGTGGAACAGTAACTTTTAAGGGTTAAGAAAAGGAAGAGAACTCTATAATCAAGACCAGAGGCCAAGGAGACAGAAGAAAAACCAGAAGGGTGGGATGCACTACATTCAAGGCAGAGAGTGTTTCGGGGAACAGGAAGTGGCCGTCAGTGCCAAATGACACTCAAGAGGTCAAGCACAGTAAGGAAGGAAAGGCTACTGCTTGGTTTAACAACAGAGAGGTCACTAGAGATCTCAGCAGGAGAAAGTTTAGGTGAGGCCAGACTATAATGGCTTGAGGGATAAAGTCTATGAGAGGAATGGAGGAAGACATCACTTAATTCTTAAATGAACAAGATGGGGCGAGATAAGCAAGATCGTTTTGGCTGGAAGGGGGATTGTGTAAAA